TCGGGAAAATGATCCATTCACCCCACGCAGTGGGAACCTATTTGACCTCCGATACTGAACCCATGAGTTTCGTCAACTTCACAAGCACTAAAGATGTCACCTCGACTGCTGATGAAACGTTTGCAACCGAATTGTAAAGCTCGGCGAATAAGCGAAGTGATATATATATATATATATATATATATATATAAACCTGAAGCTACAAAAATCCCTGTCAAAAGCACCACTGAATGATGCCTTTCCGGAGGAACCTCACAGATTCGTCACAAACCTATCTAACACAGTCCTATCCATNCCATACCCCAGCTGGAAGCTTTATCTTTGGGATTTAATTTCAAGTGCCCTTCAAAGAACATCGATAAAATGTACTTCCGAAAAGAGTTTGAGCGTTTTAATGAACAATCCGGTGACTTCCTCCCATCAAGCGAGGATAACCGAAACTGGCTTAAAGCCAAACTGGTAGACCTCACCTACAGCTTACTTCACGGCCTCATTCACCAAAATTGCATGATGAAACAGAAACATTTTCAAGCGCTGTAAAACCTACTGAACAATCCAAATCTGTTAGGGCTGAAACCTGACGAGAGGCATGGAGCAGTTGTTATGGAAAGGAATGAATACGTCACCAAAATGAAGGGAACTCCTGGATGATAGGCACAATTTCAAACCAGACCTCGCCCCGGATAATCTTCAATTTGTAGAGAAGCAGATTACACGTAAGTTACAAATTCTCATGCTACACGGTTTCATCACTGAGGCACAAATGAAACAGCTAAACCTATGAGTTATCATACACCGATTCTTTACGGCCTACCAAAGACATAAACTATCTGTCCCCTTACGGTTCATATTGTCGAAACATGACTTGCACGATCACAAACTAGCCCAGTGGCTCGTAGAAGTCCTTCAACCACTACACAAACGCCTTAGCAATCACACACCACATGACTCCTTTCACTTTTGTGATATGTTGTCCAGTTTGTATCTATCTAGTAAAACAATGTGTTCCTTTGATGTCATCTCATTATTCACAAAGTTTCCCCTACACGAAACCGTAGACGACATCTGCAAATTCACCACTCTAGGAAACATCAACTTTAGCATACCTCTGTTGCACTTCCAGTTTGAAGATACCGCATTTCGACAGACAGACGGTGTGGCTATGGGCAGCCCTTTGGTCTTATCCTGGGTGACATTTTCATGGGTATGATAGAAGCACGGTTGGATGAGGCAATCAAGCGAACCTTTTTCAATAATAGATACTTGAATTTCGCATGAGAAGTAGAGAAGGCAAATTCGTTAGCTTTCCTTGATGTCCTCATAACCCTTACTACTGACGGTTCTACCCAACGATCTATCTTCCGCAAGAAGTCTAGGTCGGGACAGTATCTTCACAGTTTTTCATCAATGGAGCAAAAGAGAGCCCTGGGTAGAACGTTTTCCATAGATGGAGAAAAATATGTACAGGGGACATAATATTAAATGAACAGGAGAATATTTATAGAGCATTACGGGAAAATGGCTATCCGGAATCTCTCATTCATTTTCATAATGGGATAGGAAATTAGAATCAAGTCACTTCCTAAAAGGAATATCCATATCTCGTTGCCATACAAAGGGGAGTCAACAATGCACAACAAGGCACAGCAACCATGCACACAGCTTATAAAAAAACGCATTACAAACAACCTACTATGCTGCCACATTACGTCTACATTCGATCACACGCCGCCCCCCATTCAAAGATCGTCACCCAGTCGAGGCTGCCTCTCAATGCATTTACGCCTTCTGTTGCAACGAAGCATGCATTGATAGAACCGACTGATCACTGCGAACTAGCACGTGCGTGATTCCATGACTCAGCCGACACCACGGATTCCAGATGCATCACGTAAACAGAGTTCGATCATCGCACGTCCCTTAATTGAAAGCGGTCACAAGGTAGACCTTGTGAACGCGTTCTCGGTTTTGTTACGTTATCGAGACAAACACCGACTAAGGATACTCGAGGCATTATTGATCACTCACAACAAACCCACACTGTGCGTCCAAAAGTGTATGACCTTTCCCCTTGGCCTTCCCTGGTTGTAACCAATCGTATGCATCACACAGTACAAAATCACACACGGCTAAACCTAACTAGATTTCTTAATTCGCTTTATTTGTTTATCTTGTTTCATGTTTTACCTACGCGACCAGTGAGAGGATACGAAAGGGATTTCTCTCGCAGTGTTTATCTCCTGACTTTCCTGTTCAAATATATATATATATATATTCTAGTAAGTGAAAAAAATTTCTCTGCAAGCACATGGCTGGTTTTTTTCCACCCATCAGACATGTCTCTGCGGCAATCTTCTATCGGTTCATACATGAACTGGTTTCCAGGACTTGCCTGCGCACGTATATCCTTACTAAACTCGCAATTACCAGTGAGTACTAGAGTGAGATATTTGATATTGATATTGAGTTCAGACCAACGACATGATGGTGGATTTGTGCATTAATAATAAGCTGTAAATGGATAATAGTTCGAATTTGGTGTTGCCCGTGTGCACGGGCGCCTGGATACACATAATTCAAAATATTCATTTTTCCAGTCTGTCTTTCAGTCTTACTACCGCAGATACAGTCAGTAGTTGAAAATTACCGATCATTATCGTACATCGTTGGACAGCCTAAACCCAGTTCTGGTAAACACGTGCACAGTTTCCCTCCGATTCGCGCTTGTTTGTGCACGTATATGTGCTGCCCAGAACACGTACAATGGTGAGCTTTTGTAGTGACAGTCGAACGAGTCTAGTTAACAAAGCTACATATACTAATAATCTCCAGCAGCCATAAGCCATTAAACGACGACAATACCATAACCAATTATCACCGTTCCATAGTCTTTCTAGTTGGCTGTATGGCGGTACAAGCATGAGTTGAAGGAATCATCGTTTGATCAGTGACACAGCTTTACAGTTTTTGTTGTTGCCTAGCAGCACCTAAACCGACGTACATTGCGGGTAAATTTGTTCCTTTGTACGAAAGTTGCAGGTTGTTTTTCTAAGTTTATACAAGTGTTTTGATGTGTGTAGTTATGTGGTAATTCATACGGGTGTATGTGCATCAAATACAATTCCAGAAAATGATTTGTTCCCGTTGTCTTTGCTAATCAATCACAGGAAATATCACATTTTACGGTTTCATTCCACTGCAATATTTTTCGTTGCCACTTCCAGTGGTTTGTCTTTCTGTCCAGGGTTTCTTGTTTTATGTGACCATGTCTCTCTTTCCCCGTCTTTGTTTTTCATTGGACTGTTTCTAAACTCATACTTTGACCCCCGGGATCCGCTTCCAGATACTTGCACCGGTTGTTCCTGCTTCACGGTCACTGGGCCTATCACCGGCTGACATTCACCATGAATCTGTTCTATTTTAAATGTACCGCTCTTGTGACCACGGAACTTCTTTTGCAATTCTACAGCGGTTTCTCTCAGATCGCGAACTATGGGGGCATACTGTTCGCACTGTTCAACCTGACAATGACATCTGTGGCCTGTTTGCTGTACGGTATGTTTGAGCAGCATTTGCCTGAACGGGAACTCATGCTTAGACCGTATTTATATCGTGTGGTAAGTCCATGCCGAATACAAGTACTGTCCTTCTCTGGCTCAGATGTTCACTGGGTATTTACTATCCTGCTCAGTAGAGTTCACATTGCCCGCCAGTATGAGACTACGCAATAAAAACCTGCAAAAGGTTTTTGATCCAGTGGAAATCATTCAACTGAAGGAATCGGCTCTGCGTCTGTTTGGTGCTGGAGGGCTTCAAAACAGACTGTTCACTTTGTACAGTCATCCTAAATAAAAGCCAACTGGATAAGTGTTAAGACAAAACCCATCGGTGCCTACATATGGTGCTGCCTATACGTACAGCCCCCCCCCCTTATTGGTTGTACAATCAGATTCATCAGATGTTTTTGGCTCACGCCAATTCAGCCTGTGTTTTGTCCATGAATCGCAATAATCTATGTTTAGGTCATCCGGCATCGCCCGACGCAGTCAGACCCGGTTCTGCTTAGTTTACTGTGTCTTGTGGTCAAATGTACTGTTAGACAGGGGTTATTGGAATTTTTTAAAAATATAGGTCAACTCCATTTCAGACTCCACCTCTCAGATCAATTTTGTGTATGCATAAATCGCCATACCACAAACTCGCTCGATGGCTGGTGGAAATTCTAAATCCAGTACGTAAGTCTTTAACACCCCATTGTTTAAAAGATTCCTTCGAACTCTCCAAATGCTTAGAAAACTTGACAATATCTTCACAACGTATGTATTCGATAGGTGTGGATTCCCTTTTCACCAATGTTCCGCTCCATGAGACAGTGGACTTTTTATGTGATTATATTTCTTCAGGTAATTTTTCCCTTGCTATTCCTCTTGAATACTTAAGGGAACTAATATTTTTATGTACCAAAAACATTCGTTTTGAATTCGAAGGAGACACGTACAAACAGATTGACGGCGTGGCCATGGGCAGTCCGTTGGGTTCAATTCTAGCCGATGTATTTTTAGGAATGATTGAACAAAATCTTGCCAATAATATCTCCCAGTCCACCTTGTACAGACGTTATGTGGACGATATTTTTATTCTTACGGAGCGTGAACATTTCGAATCCCTTTTGAGACAATTTAATTCTATTCATCCAAATCTTTCCGCATCCCATGAACATGAAAGCGACGATTCTTTATCAGTTTTGGATATCAGAATTACGAGGCGCTCAGATGGTACATTACGGTGCTCTATCCACAGAAAAGCAACATGGAGTGGCCAATATTTACAGTTCTCTA